CCTTTGCATAATGCATAAAGCAAAGCAAATTAATCAGTCGTCAACTCCCCCTTACGCTTCTACAAAAAAATCGAAGCTTGAGAAGATATTTTTCATTAGATGTGGCATTAGTGTCCAATATTTAATCATCGTGATTATGTTATGCTCATTCATCGCTCTTAATAAAAAAATCCATCATTTGATCCTTGTATAACAAATATATACATAATGCAAATGCGACAGTTCCGTCAAGTAAATTCCATGTAACCGTAATGTCACTGCTTGCAATGTAATGTTATGTTGATAACACGACATGCGAGTTTCATTATCGACGTAACACATTGCATTCTTATTACTAAAGTTTCGTCAAGTAGACTCCGTACGATCGTAGTATGATATATTTGATTATATGTATACATGAATTAATTGAAGCATGCTATATCATATAATAATTGGTAATAATTGGATTATTATCTGTAACCGGAATTACTAATCGCACACGTGAATATTTGTAGATTAAAAGTATGAAATTGCTGCTATTAATTATGTTATGATTTATAAGCTTATGCATAAGTTAATTAATAGCCTTTTGTACATAATATATTATAATATGGGGGATATTTATTAAAATATAAATTAGTAAATAATTAACACTAATGCTGATCATTTTCTAGATTAATCAATTACTGCTTGCATGTATTATTTTGTAAATTAAATAAATGAAATTATTGTAATTAATTATAATTGTTACGTTTATACATGCTATGGTATGTGTTAATTGACAATCCTTTTTTTATCTTTTATTACTTTTAATTGAAATATAAAGTAGTAAGCAGCAATGATGGTGATTATATTTTTTACATTACCTGCTAGTAATTGCTAGATTGGTCGTTATATATATTATAATTGAAATTAATATAATTGATATTATGAGATTTGCTTATAAGCATTCTGTAGTAGCATTCTAAGGACCTTAGTAGAAAGCTGACTTATAATCTTAAGACAGTGTCTTATGACTTAAATTTTATGTTTTTAGTAACAACTAGAACTAGCACAAGAATTATTTTATGACTTATGGGTCTTAAAGGTGTACAAATTGTGCCTTTAAGACATAAGTCATAAGATAGTCTTGTGCATTAGCCCGGATTTACAATACAATAAGTATTTTAAAGCCTTAAGCCGTAAGAAATTGGCCAACTACAGTCGAATGCAAGGCGAATAATTGATTGTGATTCGTCCATTCCTTATGGCTTAAGGCTTAAAAACTTATTGTAGATCCGGAATTAGACATAAGACTTAACTCGTAAGACACTGTCTTACGATTAAGATTAGTCAGCCTTTCTGCTACAGTCTTAAATCAGAAATATTGTAATAATAATAATAATGTAATAATAATAATAATAATGTTGCGATTGCTATAGTTATAAAAATGATTCATTTTATGGATCCTATCCAAATTATAATTTTTAATTATTAAAAATTAATATACCTTATACACACATAAAAATATAAGGTCGAAAGCAATATTAAATAATAAAAAATATTATAAATATAGCCAAGTAAGAATCAATTACGGATTTTGCAAATTTTATTTAGAAAAATATTGGATTTTAATCAATGCTCACTCTAATGAAAAATTCACTATAATTTGAATATGAATGACAATAATCAATTATAATTATGTGTGCGTCGCGAAGTGCATTGTGTTTCATGTTTCACAAAATACGGTGTAGTAAATAATATAAATTCATTCGATTTTATAGAAATACATCAATCAATTACTATACTAATTAACAGTATTATTATTTGATTATGCTCCAACAATTGTGTTACACTCTCATTTGCCCGATTTCTTAGAATTTTTTAATATAAATTCGAGTTTTAAAAATAAAATGAATCTGAAAGTAAACTGAATAAGTGAAGTATATAAATTAATATTTGAAATATGTGTGCAAGTGATATTTATCATTTTTTAAATAAAATTTGGATAATACAACCGATGGAGCATTTCTTAAGATGAAATTTGCAACGAATTGGCGCAAAGCAGATACTTCAGATAGTGAAATAATATATAATCTGCATATTACACAATATTAATATCATCTGCTGTTTTTTATTTACCATATTTACTATAAATTTACCATAAAAATTAAGAATGTGCGTTTAGTCTACTTATATTTTCAGTTTAATTTTATTTTTTACTAAGATAAAAATGATATGAAAGCACTAATACGAACTTCGCAATCAAAACCTTGTAAGAATAATGAACTTTATTAATATTTCATCGATAATGTGCTATTGAATTAATTCAATTTATTCAATCATATTCATCACTGTATAGTGAAAAAAGTAGTTTTTAGAAATCTGAAAATATATTATTATATATAGAAAAATTATAAGAAAATACAATATTATAATAGAGACTATTTTATTTAAATTAACAATATTGATATAATAGATTTTATATAGTTTAATAATCCCACAAATTTTGCTTCACCTCGGAACTTAATTAATACATTATTATATTTTTAAAACATAAATGCTGTAATTTCTCCTATTTTAAAAACATTTAAATTTCTCTTACAATAAAAAGAAATTGTATAAATTGAAGAATTTTATATACGACGTACTTGTAGGCAAAAGAGGCCAAAATATATCAATCATATAGATCGATATGTAAAACATTATCTAAATTTTTTTACAATTCATACTATAGAATTGCTTTAGTTCTTAATCTGAAGATTCTGTTTTCAATTTTATCGCTAGCTGACTAGCTACATAATCCCAATATCGCCATCTTATTGTATCATATTTTTTCGATAAATCCTTGCATAGCTAAAATATAAGTACATATATATCAGATATGACAAATGATATAATATTATAAAATGCATAATATTACAAAACAGATTTACTTCGTATGCAAAATTAATATGAAACAAAGGAGATAGAGTTTCATCTGATGGGCATCTTTCTTGGCAAATATCAATCATACAGGCCAATAAATGATTAGTGCGACATCCTTCTTTATACATTTCTTCACATTTATGTCTTACTTTTTCATTATAACCTAAACCTTTGCTATGATGTGATAATATTCTAAAAACATAATTTAAATAAATTCAAATTAAAATATCATTTCTTAACTTACATTCTTAATATAATATATTAGGTGTGGTAAAAAGAAATCCATTATTTTTCCATTCAATTTCATACAAAAATAATGGATTTCTTTTTACTATACCTAATATATATATCAGAAATAAGTACCCTCTTAAGTAATTCCAAGCACTCTCATTTCCTTTTTCCAACTCAATCTTCTCCAACGTAAAATCAACTTCTCTATCTATTACTTCTTGCTCAAACTTTGTTGTATTACTTATAACAAAATAGCGTTGGTTCCAAGCAGAATTATTACGGACATCGTCATTTAACAATTGTTCCACATATTCCAATTCCTTATCATATAAACTGCAACCATAATTATAATTTTATACACATGTGATCTCACAATCAACCATAATAAAACAATATTACTATATATATATTCTATATACATATATAAAAATATACTTGCTTAAAAGTTTGTATACACCACTGACGATGTTGCCAGGCATGATAATTCTTTGCATCTTTACATAAAACAGTTTCTATGAATGCTAATTCTTCGCTGGGATCTTGCAACCATTCTACAATGACCTTTCTATGATGCCAAACTTGATAATTTTTAGAATTATACTTTATCATTCGATCTGTATATTTTACTTCTTCATGTAAGTTTTTTGCCAAACTTTTAAGTATCTCTCTTCTGTATTGCCATACAGTATAATTGGCTGGATTAAGCCATATACAAGTTTCTGTCAAAGCTAATGCACGATCTGACTTTTCACTCGACTTTAAAATGGCACGGAAGTAATCGTAGGCATCCTTAACTAAAAATTAACATCAACATGTATATAAATAAACGTTATATAATTTATTGAAGCAAAATTTTTTTATGGAAAATAATGATGTCTATATAATATTTTACATTCTATATAATATTATATTTTCTAAAATAAGCTTAAAAATGAAATTTTTAAATGATTTAGGATTTAAATGTGATTTTTTAAATTATATATACTCACACTTTTCGGAATATGCAATGGATACAACAGGATGAGGACCATCATCCTGGGGTATAGGAGTTACATCATTCCACTCAACGCGATCTTTATACAATATCCATGACGTTTTCTCGTGGTCATCGCTACTATTTAATTCGTCATCAGAACTGTCTGACATGATTTTCTACTTTAATACAGTAATTGTTCTGTTAAAAATCGTAGAATGAAAACAAGATTGCAAGTTATCTTTAATGAATCCTAACCTAATTCACTTTTGCACTGTTTTAGTGTTGAAACACGTGTTAAACTTTTAACAACATTGATATTAAAAACTTTAAAAATTTTATTTATTTGCTGTATTTATTGCAATATAATCAGCCTTACGTGTTTTCATTTAAAACATTCTCGAGTGAATCTTGTCTAGATATTCGCACACATCGTGATTATTGACTAAAAAAATATACTTACGTACAATTAAATATAATCTTTTTTTAATAACTTTAATAACTTCTTAATAACTTTTTGTATTATTATTGTAATATTTAATCTTTCGTACATATAAAACACAATTATCGCACCGATCCAATTTATAGAAATAGTGCGTTACACTTTTTGTATCCAAAGTGAGATAGCTATCCAGTCGAATATTGGATGGAAAAAGAGAAAAAATAAAAAGTACAGAAAGTACAATTGCAAAGAATAGATTTATTGTCAGTAATGACAGTGCATATATACATATACATGACAGAAAATATATAAAGATCATTCAGAGATAACTGCATACCTCTCTCTTCTATTGATCTTCAAATTCACTATAGCTCTGGAAAAATTAGAACATAAAATGCATTAGGGTAGAAAGGAAAGAAATGATTAATAATCGTTTATTTGAAACTCAAATAAAAGATTAATCCCATATATACATTAAAATTTATAAGATTTATTGAACAACAGAACAAAACGATAAAATTTGATGCTTTTAAGATATTTAAATTTTAAAAAATCATAAGTTTGTTACATCATAATAACAATATTCTCTACGGTAATCTATGCCGTTTACAAAGTAAATTTATTTTGTGTGGACACAGAAACATTCATCTCACACTCTCTCGATTCTATATTCTCATCTCACGTATTCACTGAATATGCTACGAAGCATTCTACAATAGCAAGTTTGTTAACAAATTATTTCCATATTATTTTTGGTAACACATCATTTTACAATAATTATTACGGTGAAATCTTGACATTCTACATATGTTCGTAGGCTGCACAAAAATCAATTTGCATTAGTTTCATTATACAAGTGATTAGCTATGTACATAATTTATTACTTTATGTGAAAACTAGCCAAATATTTAAAAAATTGGCTATTACTACTACAGATATACAATTACTCTTTTTTAGCAGACTTAAAAAAACTTGCGGTAACTATTATTATTTTTAGAATTTTACAAGAAATAAGAGATAATTTTGTATGATAATTAGAATGCAAACTTATAAAAAAAATATATATAATATACCACAAAATTGCTATTATATATCAGAATTACTAAATATGATAAAGAAAATTGCTTCTTTTTTCTCTCTTCCTTTCCATATGTATGAAAGTACTTTATTTCTAGTCGATTGTTATCATAGAATTGAAATTTTAATTTATATTTTCTTTACTAGAATAAAAAATTTCTTTGAGCTTACGGAACAGCAACAAACGCTTATACAAGTGAATCTGTTTTCCTTTTTTACAGAACGCAAATTATTTAATTAAAATTAATTTTTCTCTTCCTTCTTCTCGCCTTCAGGTTCCTGTTGTGATTGACTTTGATTTTGACTTTCTCTTTCTGCTGCCATCTATAAAATCAATATGTTATTTAAATAACAGTCTTTGAGTTATGTAGAGCAATTTATTTATGTTCATTAAATTAATTTTTATATAAATTAATTGTTCATAAATTAAATACCTTTTTGTACGCCATTTCAAATAATTTCAAGCTCGCTTGTTGAAGTTCGTTTGTCTGCTTCTTGATTTCTTCAGGCTCAACATCATCTTTTTTAGCCAAAGTTTCTCGTAATTTTGCAACTAGTTCTTTAAGTTTGTCACACTATAAAAGAAAAGCAATAAAAATATTAATTTGCAAAAATATCAAACTATTAAAAGCAATATTATACCTCTTCCTGTGGTAACTGTGCTTTGAATTCTTCTAGTTTCGATTCTGTGTCATGTATAATTCCCTCTGCTTGATTAATAGCTTCAATTCTTTCCTTCTTAACTTTATCTGCCTTTGCATATTGTTCAGCATTCTTAACCATGTTTTCAATTTCATCTTTGCTAAGACCACCACTAGATTGAATAATAACTGTGAAACAAAAACCATAGATCCAGAATATGCTCATAAAAAGATACAATTCGTTATTATTATGACAATAACTCAGTTGAATGTAGTCTACAATGTAGTCTTATTGATATTTCAAATAAGTTTCAGAGACGAAAAATATAGGCATCATTATAGCATTGTCTTTAACATTTTATATATATACATATGAAATGATAAAAAATTTACGTACTTTGTTGCTCTTTGCCAGTTCCCTTATCTCTGGCTGATACATGCACAATACCATTTGCATCGATATCGAATGTTACTTCTATTTGTGGTACACCCCTTGGTGCAGGTGGAATACCAACAAGACTAAATTGTCCTAGAAGCTTGTTATCACTAGCCATTTCTCGCTCGCCTTGATGAACTTTAATCTCGACTTGTGTTTGACCATCCGCTGCCGTAGAAAATACCTGACTTTTCTTTGTAGGTATAGTTGTATTACGAGAGATCAATCTCGTAAATACACCACCAAGTGTTTCAATACCTAAAAAAAATTTTTAAATATTTTCTTTTTCATTACTGATCACAAAGTATCTTCATTTGTAATGAAGGATGGAAAATTCAGTAAATCAATGTCCTCATTTATTATCAGAGAGAAGATTAGTCTAATACATCACAGTTTCATATATGTATAAAATAATAAAAAAATTTGAGTAAAAATTTTACCTAATGACAAAGGTGTAACGTCAAGAAGTAAAACATCTGTTACATCTCCTGCGAGTACACCTCCTTGAACTGCAGCACCAACAGCTACAGCTTCATCCGGATTTACAGCTTTCGATGGTTGTCTGCCAAATATTTCTTGAACAGTTTGTTGTACTTTGGGAACCCTGGTCATACCACCGACCAATAAAACTTCTCCGATATCAGATTTTGTTACTTCGGCATCAGACAGCGCTTTCTGACATGGTTGAACAGTACGTTTAATCAGATCATTTACAAGACTTTCAAATTTACTTCTGGATAGCTTAAGATTTAAATGCTTTGGTCCACTAGAATCCATAGTAAGATAGGGAAGATTTATATCTGTCTGAAGGGAACTTGATAACTCTATTTTAGCCTTTTCTGATGCTTCTTTCAATCTTTGCATTGCCATTGCGTCTTTAGTCACATCTATGCCTTGCTGCATTGTTTTAATAAATCAATTATTATTAACATAAATTTACTTCAATAAATGAATAACTATATTTGATATAAAAAATTCATACCTCTTTTTTGAATTCGGATGCGAGATAATTAACCAATGCGTTGTCAAAATCTTCTCCTCCTAAAAATGTATCTCCATTTGTGGATTTTACTTCAAAGACACCCTTCTGGATTTCTAAAATCGAAATATCAAAGGTACCTCCACCCAAGTCATAAACAGCAATACTGAAAAAAGGATACTACATTAATCATACCTATTGTTTCGTAAAGTATATAAGAAATGTAGCATAATTTTCAATAAAGTATTTCAGTATAAGATACATCTTTAGAGACAAAAAAATCTGCTCTGAAAATATAAATTATAAATTATTTTTATAAGAGTATTTGTCATATTATGTTTCGATGAAATATATCTTCTTACATTTTATCTTCTTGTTTATCCATTCCATAAGCAAGTGCAGCTGCGGTTGGTTCATTAATTACACGAAGAACATTCAATCCAGCAATCTGACCAGCATCTTTCGTTGCTTGTCGTTGAGAATCATTAAAATACGCTGGTACAGTGATAACAGCATTCTTTACTGGAGTATTTAAGTAAGCCGCAGCAGTTTCCTTCATTTTCATAAGTACAAATGCTCCAATTTGACTGGGAGAATACATTTTTCCATCCACACCTTGAACCCATGCATCTCCATTAGATGCCTTCACAATTTTATATGTTACACTCTTCCTGTAAGAACACATTATATATTAGCATATTACATAAAACAAATCATAAAATTGATATAAATATATTAGTATGATACTTACATATCCTTTTTCACTTCAGGATCTACAAATCTTCGTCCAATTAACCGTTTTGTTGCATAAAATGTATTAGCAGAATTTGTAACTGCTTGACGTTTTGCAGGCATGCCAACTAAACGTTCGTCATCTAAAAAAATGTTTATTTTACAAAAATGACAAAATTAAATAAGAAAATCTTCCAGAATTTATATATATATATATGTTATTTATTACATGAATAATTATAATCAGTAATAATAATTAATATTGACTATAATATGACAAAAGGATTTTAATATTATTAATACATACTAATTTAATAATTACCTTTTGAAAAAGCAACATAAGATGGCGTAGTCCTAGAGCCTTCAGCATTTTCTATAACTTTAGCTTGCTTGCCCTCCATCACTGCTACGCAGGAAAAAGTAGTTCCAAGATCTATACCGATAACTGCACCCTTTACGCCTTCAGATCTATTAAAAATTAAAATGAATTTAAAAGTTATTCTAAATCTAGGAAACATGCACTTTTACACATTTATGATATTTATTTATTTCTTATTAATTACTTACTTATACCGATATTGTTGCATATCAGTAAATCGATGTGGTACAGTGACTGTTGGAGCTGCGACCTAAAATATTAAAAATATAAAATATGTATATTTAAATCATATTTAATAATGGAAAAAAATATTTATTTCAAAAAGATATTATAAATTTTATTTAAAGATTTGAAATATTTAGAAAAATGTTTATAACTTTTTATTAATATAAATTATATATGTTTAAAATAAACAAGAAACTAATAAAATATACATTCATCGCAGAAATATATATTTTCAATATAATGAAGGATCTTACATAAAAAAATCTATAATGGTTTAACTTTTCTAAATTAACCTACAAAATCAATTTTAGCTAGTTTTAAGTTCTAGCAATAATAATACGCAAAACACACAGAAAGTCGAGTATATCGTCGACAGTAGGATTTAAAAAAGCATTTACTAAACGTGAGATAGGAATCCACTCACGTGTCGGCTTTAAAATCGGCGTCATAATGAAATTAATATGCGACAGAAATTTGTCGCGATGCACGATTGCAAAGTAATTTAAGATTATTAGCGTAGGATAACAAGATAGCATTGCCAATTAAATTTCATCTCTCATTAGACGGCATAGTAACTGCAAGGAACTGCTAGGAAAAATTACAAGATCGTAATATCGCTATCGATACTCACATTTTTCAAAATCGTGCTGAATTGTTGTTTTCTTGCCAAGTCGCAGGCAACGCCGGTGCAACTGCGGTTAAATAATCTCGCGGCGGTCAACATTTTGGCCTTTTTTCAGTAGGATTTCGGCAAAACTCAACAGGAAACGCGGCGTGTCCAGCCTCACGTGTAATGATGCAACTCCTGTAAAGACCCGTAATACACGTACACCACGCGCATCTCATGGCGCATCCATTTCAACGACCAGACAATGGATATCCGCATGTTCACGAATCGTTTGCATTTTACTGTGGCTCCAATAGAATACACCAATGGCAAACGTCCACCGTCATCCTACCACTTCTAAATAGCGAAACTTCCCGAATGTTCTACCGAACGGTTAGGAAGGTCGTGGTTCGATTCATGCTGACACATTCATGAGCATCATTTGTCTTCGTTTAACATTTGACAAATAACAAGGATAATTTAAGCGTGAGTGTGAATCGGCCGAAATCATACGTCGATTAATGTCAAATGCATTATTAGAAATAAAAATTGACGAGAAACTATCTCTGGCAAAATGATGTAAATTATTATGCAAATTATTTTGTGTATCACTGCAAACGCCTAAGAACTAAATTGGGAAATTAAGAATTAGATAACCGGAGCTCTTTATCGATATATATAAGTATATATGGATTTCTAGGTAAGTAGATTTCAAAACAAATCAATGTTCAAAAGCCGATTCTACATTAATTGTAAGCTGATTGTTGAAATAAGTTGTTGCGACAGCCAATATGAAGCGTTGATTTCAAAATGCAAGCTTCAGATTGGCTTTTGCTCACAAATTGTGATCTTACAATTAATGTAGAACCGGTGTAATATATGATGCAATCGAATAATAGAGTTGTCTGATTGAATTGAACTAACATAGGATAGGATGGAATCCCTTTAATCTCTTAATAATTTTTATCTATATTTATTGGTACAGGATAACCATTAATTAGGATTATGTTTAAAAAATTATATTTTTTTCTCCTTTGTAAGAATCGTTTTTCTGATTAGAGTTGGAGCATGATAGAAGGAATTCAGAGGTGCGTTCCAAAACTCGACTCTATCAACTTCTAGTATCTTTCATTCTTATTCAATATTTGGTGAATAACAAGGATAAAATGATGTTCTTGCGTATATATTTCTAATAACCAATAAGAACGTGACATCATATGCCGTCATGTTGCCGCGGTTATTATGAATTAAGCGTTATGTCATTATTTTATTTAATTATTTTTGTGTTTTTAATTATATTTGCTTACAATATATAATATATGATATAATGAATTTGGTTTTATGTTTTGCCTTAAAAAATCGATTTTCTACAAGTTTCTTCTCACTTTAATTAATACATTTTATTAACGTATTCTTTTTTGAGAAGCGATAAAATGCGTATATTTCTAAATTCTTTATGACGACCAAAGTAATATTGATAAAATAAGTTAGCTCAATACTTTTCGATTAAATAAGATTACATTCTTTATGTTGAATTTAGAGTATTCTATGATAAACATAATTAATTTGGAATGAAGAAACAAAATTTAAGATTTAACAATATGTACATTGCAATATGTGAGTGCAAAAAGAATTCGTACAGAGAAAATATTTTTTAAAAAACTTTATTTTTAAAAAGTAAATATCGGTAAATATTTTCCAGTGAGAAATGAGTCATCGAATTAATGTTGAATCAATATCGATGATTTCAACTCCAATTTGACATCGATTCGACGTTTAATTGACGATCATTTCTTGCTGTGTAAGTAACAATTTATTCCTAAAGAATAAAATAGACTGTATGTTTCTTAAAATTATATATACTAAAAATGTGTATTAATTATAGAAAATATGTCATCTGAAAAATAAGCAAAAATTAAAAATTGTATTGTATAAATACAAAAAGTATTCGGTCGTATACAGTCGAAATATTTAGCTTCTAAAATTAAGAATATATGTGAAACTCATTTGTTAATATAAGAATAGAATGTATTTATTATATAAAATTGCTAATTAATGCTTATTTTCTACAAACAAGACTTTTAGAAAATTTTTTTGTACGAATACTTTTTGCTCTCACTGTAAGTATATCGAGGCGACAATGATGACATATTAAAGCATCTCGCATTATTTATATTTGAAATAAAATACGTACGTAACCAAATCATAGATATATAGTATTTTAAATCACCATTTTAGAAATGTAATAAATAGATTATTTTACTTATTTTGTAATATACGTTAGTATATATTATTTTTACAATAAGATGATCGGCGCGCGGCCTTGAGGATTGTTTTGACGCGAAAGGGCAGGCGGGCGGGTGGCACGGGGTGCACGGGGTGGCGTGACGCGTCACGTTAATGCGAAGTTACCGTTCAGTCATTCTCTTATCGAGATTCATACAGATAAGTAACTGTACCGCATGCCGCTCTTCTTTACATTTCTTTTTGAAACGTTATCGCGAAGAATGCTAAATTTAATACGAAACGTTATACTGTATGAATATTCACAGTAAATTACTAACTTACTAACACAACTACTACCTTATTAAATTACTAACACAATTATTATAAATAAATCGAGGATGACAATATATCACGGAACAAATTTTTTGTACAGTTCATTCATTTGGAATCAAAACGCAATGAAAACAGAATTTATTACCATTTTGCGATAATTACGAATAACAATTATTTTTGTTTAAAATTTTTCTCTCGCTTGTGTAATAACTCTCGATTAGACTTTGAAAGATATCACACGAGACATAAAAAAGCAACGTTAATAAATACTCTTGTGCAAATAACGCAATTTATACGATTCCTTTTTTCCCAATTAATATATAATTATAATAATTTAATTAATTTTTCATTTTTTATGCATCTTTCGTGATATGATATAAAAAATTGAGCATAATTTTGGATTTATTTTTCGATAATAAAAGAAATACAAGTATTTCTCTTTTTTATTAATTTCTCATTGATTCTAATCATATCGTACAGACATCATAATAAGAGATTCAGCCTTCCTATCATCTGCTCTGAATTTATTTCGCAATGGTGATGAATTCACGTGTTTGTGATTTTTACTTCTAAAAGTTCTAACCGATAATTGTATAGTAATAGTATATTACATTTTTCAGATAATATCTTCCTCTCGCGAGTACGACCTTGACGTGATGAAAGGGCTCAGTACCTGGAGGATATACACGAAAAGAACGATTTTTTTTTCAATTTATCTAAAAATTTTCGAATGATATACCTAGGTAAATTTTTAGATACTTGAGTAAAATCGTTTCTCTTTGTAAAAATCCAACGACGGGGAAACTAACGTACCCTCGCTGATATAATTGAAAGTGAATGAACCGCAGCCGGTTTGTCACATCACGCGTTTGCTTCGAGAGTGCCGTTAAAGTTATCGGACTAATAGACTCCACAAAATTCATTCGATTTTAATTCGACGCGAAAGACTTTTCTAAATAATTAGTCCGTGCGCGATTATAATGTATTATTCGCGAGTGTTTTACGCGAGTGTCCTGTGCGAGAGGATTTCGATCTAATTGAGGAGGAGGAGGTCTGGGAAAGACATCGGGCACCGGCGGAGCAATCTTGCGGTAAATATCAATTTTTTGCTTATGTAAAATCAATATTTTTCTTCTGTTTATTCTTGAGTCGTATTCTTTATTTTGTAATGACTTTTTTTTATAATCCAATTAATATACACCTCTGAGTCACCCTTTGTATCCTGTCCATTTTTTTGTTGAAATACTGAAGAGCACTTGATTTCTTTTCTAAAAAAAGTTTGGCATCTAGAGAACAAGTTTTGTGCGTGACCGACCTCAATTCGTGCGTATTCTTTACTGGCATAACTCCGAAGTTCACCTCTAGGTCACAATTGACCTAAGGTGTATACAGAGTGTACATTTTCTGCAACTAAAAAATTTTTTATTTTTTTCTTTATTTTCAACTGATTCTCGTTTGTATTGCAAGAATATTTCGCGAATTATTAAAAAAAGAATTTAACCATAAAACAACATATTAGCCCTTAATAAATGCGATTTTTAGACCTTTGTTTTAAATGGTATTAGTAATATAATATTATATATTATGTTTATTATATATTATTATATATTATATATTATATATTACATATTATATATTATATATTATATATTATGTTGTCTGTAATGTTATAAAAAATATTTTCCTAATTTTAAGTTTTTTTAACACAATAACAATAAAAAATCCATTGTTTTAAAATGTAAATGCAATATATCTTCAATTTATAGCCATTCATATTAAAAAAATATCATTTAATAATTAAACTTTTTGGACAGCCGACATTTGAACTATTTTTTTTCTTGTAGTTTGGAATGTCAATTTTAAGATATTGAACTATTTTTCCTTTAAACATTTTTGTTTCAAAGTTTTACATTTTTATAACGCCAGATTTACCTAACAGGTAAAATTTACCAAAAGGAACAACCGGCCTTATTAGACAATTAACGAGCAATCTCGATGTATGTTTTGATAAAGCGGGTGTTGCGTCATGTTTACAGTCACTGCCAACTGCGTAGTCATTCATAAATATATCGAGGCTCGGGTAGCCGTGTCCTTTGGATATAGCTTTACATTTTTTCTTGAAATGCAATCGAGACAAGTGCGAAATAATATTGTATTTTATAAATGCTTACATGTTATACGATTACTAGTTCGCGCGATTAGCTACTCATAAATGGATCGAGATTGACATAGACAATGATCATCATATTATATCGAAACAAATATTCTGTATGGTTATTCATTAATTGAAATTAAAACGCGACAGAAAAGATATATAATTATTTCGCGATTATTACGGACGATAATTACGGACGATAATTAATTATTTTTATTTATAATAACATAAAATTTTTCTTTTGCTTGCGTATAATTCTTAATTATATTTTGAACGATATTACATGAGTCATAAAAAAAGCAATGTTAATCAGTATTCTTATGTAAATATTGGGTTGTCCGGAAAGTTCGTGCCGCAAAAGATTTAAATTTAATAAATGTATACTAAAATTTAAATCTTCTGCGTTTCAATTTTCCTTCAAAATCGGCACGAACTTTCCAGACAACTCAATAATACAATTCTGCTGCTTGCTTTTTCGATATCGCTCGTAGAGCGATATTCATAGTCCGTTCTTATTTCAAGACTGTCTTAAGTAAT